CATTTAAGTGTGAGAACTTTTTAATGGTAAATGACCCATTAAATGGTTTTGTGATGTTTTCGTGTGATGAAAATATCAAATTCTTAAGTTCGCTAACTACAATATACGTGGATGGTACTTTTGACTATTGTGTTCAATATTTTTGCCAATTGTTTACAATACATGGTTTTAAAAATAATTATTATATACCCTTAGCATTTTTTTTGCTAAGAGATAAAAGTCAAGTATCATATAAACGAGCTTTTGTCGAATTACGTAACCAATGTTTGAAGTCCGTGGAAGTATTTGAACCCAAAATGTGTTTCGTTGTCAAGAAAAATCCATTCATAATACATTATTTGAAGTTTGGCCACAAATTGAAATTAAGGGTTGTATATTTCATTTATGTCAACCAAGGTGGCGTAAAATACAAAAAATTGGCTTAGCTACAGAATATTCAAAAAACGACGAGATTGGAAAATATCTCACATACATATTTGGCCTTCCATTTCTGCATCCAGAAGAAGTAAAATTTTGATTTCATTAATTTATTATAAAATAATTATAATCTTTAATTAAACAGTTATTTATTTTCAGGTAGGCGACGTTTTTGCTATAGATCTTGGTGAACGACAAATTAACTGAATTTTCCGATTATTTGGTTGACAATTATATAGATGAAGATTCGTCTTTTCCACCAAAAATATGGGCTGAAATGACATAGAGTGCGCAAAGGTCTACCAACGCCTGTGAATCATTTCATAGTAAGTACAATTCTAATTTTTCTTCTACTCACCCTCATATTTATAAATTTTTGGATGTATTAAAATCAATGCAGTTAGATACGGTAATATTAATTAATTCATCAAAAATGGAATCCAAAATTATTAGGACAGCCACAAAAAATAAAAAAAATTTTATTAATAATTTAATTAATGAATTAAACATGAATGAAATTTCAAAATTGCAGTATTTAAAAGCATTGGCAAATAAATTTAAGCCACGAAGCTAATAGATACGATAATACAATATAACAAAATTAAATGTTTCATTCATTATTCTATCATTTATTTTATTATTATTTTATAAATTTATCTAAATTATTTGATGTATTGACTATTTATTATTTGTATTATTATTTATTATAACTACAGCTGATAGTCTATTTACAACATCGTTAAATTGACTAATCGAACTAATTGACCGGACGATTTTCTACTGCCGTCGTTATTTATATTAATATCGAAAACTCGATAAAATAATATCGTTTAATCGTTTGCACGTGCCTCGAACAAAATCAATTCGTATTTATTTTTGTGTTTACTATTCAGTCTCTCGTGAATCACCAAATCGTGCACGTTAAGATATTAATTTATTTTATAAGATGGGCCCTATTAAAAATACGCGTATTCATGTTTGGATAAATGAATATCCAGGGACGTTTACTACTGACGGAATGGTTGTGTACTGCCATAAATATCATCATCATAATTTTTTCATATTGTTGTCATAATTCTTAGAGCATATTTTAACATAGTCTATGCATATTTCTGTATTTTATACTGCATATTTGCATGCATATCATCATATAATTGAGTATTTTCACGGCATATAATCCGCGGTCTATTTATTATAATTACACCCTGACAGTCTATTTACTAATATAATATCGATTAATTATACCTATCGTAGGCGATTCTAGTACAAGAGGGTCACTACTTTTTCGACTACTTTTTTTTCGGGAGGCAATTCGTGTAACCTTTGTTGAAAAAAAATCACGGGAGGCAATTCGTGAGCGCCCGTATTTATACACTCGTACTGTCGCGGCGGCGACAGATGGCATTATTACACTCCATCAACTTGGCCAATTTTTAAATTATATCATATATTTATATTTATTATTTTTTTAATTCGACTAAACAAATTTGTTTTAAATTTTTATGTTACTATGATTGCATTATGTTAATTAAGTAAAAATTACATAGATTACAAAGTAATAAATTATTTAACAAAATTCATATTGCTGTATATTGGTCATTGTTACTCAATACACAGAAGTATATGTACTTCATGAATCAATATTTTTTATGATATTATGTAATTTTTTATATTCAGTATTTTATTATTTTTATGAAATATACATTTGTGTGGTCAATCATTTGTTTTTTTAAATAATAATAATTTTCATTTTGATCAAGATATTACAATAGTTCTTGACTTTTTGTTTTCTTAAACTTACCTTTCTCCTTGTCCAATGGCCCAATAATACTCATGTTGAATTCTGTAAAAGTTGATTATTTTTATGGTTCACTAAAATAAAGCTAAAAATTTACTTTGGTTTAAAGTTTAGAATAATATATTATTGTCTATGATGGAACTAAATGATACCAACAAAGAACGATACAAGTTTATATATTATTAAAAAATAGTTAATATGCATAGATATCAGTGACGGCTCGTGAGGTTCACATCAGGTGGTGCATAAAAAATGTATAAATAGGTAAGTATGTAAGATAGCGATTTTTATATGAGTTATATACAACAATTATTTAGCATTTGTAAAAAAAAATAAAAAAATACATAAATACATAAATATAAACTATTATAGTTACTATTATAATTTACATATTTTTCTTGCTCAGAAAACCAAGTTCAGCTAAGTTCGTTTAAAAAATAGAGTGAATCCACCTATTATGGGTTTTTTACGATAATTCCGTTTTACAACTTACAACTTGCTAACAAATTTAACCCAACGAAAAAACCCACACACAAACACAAATAATGTTCTTACCATTACGTACCATAATGGAAATCATTATGCTCATCAAATGCTCGTATATAATGTCCTCTTAATCCAGATTCATTGATCGACGAATTAAGTGAATTTATATTTTATTTTAGGTATTAAATACTAAATAATATTTATAAAAATAGTCAGTTTAATTATCCAATTAGTATTTTAATTTTTTAGTATTTACTACCTACTTTATTTCACAGTGCAAACTGTACAACCCGTCAACTTTGTACAGTAAAAAATGTCAAATTGTACATTTTGTACAATTAATAAATACAAAAATCAAATTATGATGTATACTTACAACAACCAAAAGAAATTTAGTATCAAAAACTAAAGTTGAAAGTCGAAGTATTTTTTCTACCACTTTTCGAGTGTATATATGGTCATATAGACAAAACCTATTGCTACTTATGTCGTTTGATAATTATTGCTGAGTATAGGTATCAAATTCCATGACTTCATAAATGAAAATCAGAAGTTAGAGTTGAGTTGCATACTTAGGGCATTTTTCACACGTACAAAATACATACTTTTCAAACAAACCACTTCTAGTTTTGATTTATCATAATATGACCGTGAGTTTTCATTATAAATTTTGCCTATCAATTTATCGTGATATCGTTGGTCCTTTATCATATAAGAACATTGCATACTTTCGTAACAATGTAATTAATATACCTACAACATAAATTATTAATATAAATAATTTTTAGGTGTACTATTTGGGTTTCCCTTATTATTCTAAAATATATTTTAGATTCTGAGTGTATTGATTTTACAATGATGTGCGTTTTTATATTTATTTATTTGTGTCTATCATCACCGTTTCTTGCGGTAAAAGTGCTTCGTTTTTCTTCAATAGTCTTCAAAAGCAACAGGAAAAACAAACAAAAAATTAAGGAAAAACCGGAATTTTTAAGCAAAACCATTTTTCGAAAAAATCAGTTTTTGTTTTTAGTGTAGCTTCAACAAAAATGACCGTAGAGACATGAAATTTTTACTGAATATTTGTGTAAGCATTTTCTATACACCATACAATTTTTGATTAATATTTGTTATTTTAAACTCAAGTCTATAAAACATTTTTCGCTCAGTCAAAAAAAATGAAAATGTAATACAAGGTTCCTTATAAGTTGTTGTTAATGGAAATTAAAAAAAAAATTGATCACAAATCCACAATAATTTTTGATGAGCGTTTAAACTCAGAATTTTGACAAAATTCGTAAAAATCATGAAAATTAGCATATTATATTTAGTTGGAAATTTATAAAAAATGTTTTATTTAAATCTAAGATTTAAAAATTGAATACAAAATTCTTTAAAAGTTTGTCTACGTTTATCAACGAAAAAAATTTCTACCGGAATTCAAATTAAATTTTTATGAGCGTTTGAACTCGAAATTTTTACAACATTAGATATTCATTCGATTTCTCTTGTAGCGATTTTCTTATTTTGCTGTAATTCAAAAAAGATATACTGTAGACACTTGAGATTTACATTAAATGTTTATTTCATCAATTTACATACTTGACTATATTTTCAAAATATTTTCATTCGTTTTAAGCTGTCGATGGACATTTTCAATTTTCATTTTTTTTCATTTTTTTCTTCTATAAATATCATTAAAATTATATTGGTTTGTTCAAAAAGCATGAAAATTGAATATAAGACTTTTGATATATTGTGACAATAGTAGTTGAAAAATATTAAAAATACATAAGCAAGATTTTTTTTATAAGCATTTAAAGTTCAAATTTGGACAAAATTGCATATTAACACCAAGAATAAAGTGTATCATTTTGTTGTAATTCGATTTTAAAACAGCTCAATTTTACGTTGGTATATTTAATATCTTAAAAGCTTCACTAATAATTTAAGAATAATATTAATTCAACTTACCGGCTACCATATGTAATAACTAATAACAATATAAAATATCCTAAACTGACATACCGTCTCCGCTCAAATCGTTTTTCATATACAGTGATTTGATATCATTATTTTCAAATTTAATACCATCCATTACAGCCATTACATTCCATTCTCTTAGATACCTAATGTTATTAATTGTTAACAATATAATTTATTTTGATAAAATTTTTTTTTTTAAGGTATTAGATATGATAAAATATGTTATAAACCATAATAAATTATATTTAAAAAAAAAATAATAATGTATTATAAAAAAAAACCGGAAAAAAAATAAAATTGTTAGCCAGAAAAATCATAAGAAGTTTCTCCCGTCATTATGTGCATAGGTACATGGTTTCATTTCATCAATCAGTTTATCCATGATGTTGTCGACTTCCCACAATTTATTCTCTTCCTCAATTACTTGTTTAATGAAATTTTTCCAATTTTCTGGCGTTACTCGTTCAATCCCTCTATTGAGAAGCAGGCGGACGTCGTCAATCTCAAATGTGGCAGTATTCTCCTGTTTCATGTAGCCTTTTACCATAGTCCATGCTAATTCAATTGGATTCAATTCGCAGTGATAGGGTGGTAATCGGAGTACAGTGTGCCCTGCGTCTTTTGCCATATTGTCGATAATGTATAAATTATTATTGTGAGGTTTTAATTCATGAACTCTAATCAGCAGTTGAGCCTTCAACATAGGTCTATCGAAAGTGACACCTTTTAAATTGAGCCACTTCAATATTTCTGATTTTTTTGAGCTTGCAGTCGGATATAGTTCGGCTTTGACTGAATGGTATGGTGCGTTATCCATAACAATAATAGAATTTGGATCAAGTTGAGGGAGTATATACTCAAACCACTCTTTAAAATTATCACCATTCATTTCATTACGGTAATCGACGTTTTGTTTTTTGGACTCGAAACATATAAATAGCCCTTCTGGCAAAAATCCTTTGTCTGAACCAATGTGTATCATAATCAATCGTTTTCCCAGGCCAAACGCAAAACCTTTGTCAAACGCATCATGTTTGGAATGAACTGTTTTGTTGATACTCGTGCGGTCCACACAATCAGAGAAGTTTAACCAGACCTCGTCTAAATAGTAGATTGATCGACCTTCCTCCCGATATTTTCGGATGTCGTATAAGTAGTTGCGACGCCATGCAATCAAGTCTTCCCTCTCAGTCAACACACTGCACTTTTTTATTTTAGTGAATATGAAATCCAGTTTTTCAATGATATTGTACATACCTGAACTTTTGAAGTTAGGAAGCGATAGATCTTGGTTCACTTCAACTAATATTTTGTCAAAAGTCGGTAGTTCACGACGCAACCAAATAGAATGGACCTTTTTTCGTAATTCATTATGATCTAAATCGTCGATATTACAAAAGAGAGATGTCCTAGAGCTCCTTTTGTTTAGATAACTAACAGTTTTCGTTTTATTGTATTCGGCAATAGTTTTGCTGATTGTCTGACAACTTATGCCCGTGGATTGTGACAGATGTGTAATCATATTTTGGCTTATAATGAATAACCTATTTCTTAACTACGATAAAACTGTTATTTTATTACATTCATGGAAAACTAATACGTTACCAACCAAAACAGATTTCATATTACACGAGGATACATGCTATGCCAACAATATAAAGTGTGAATGTAAGAAAATAAACGTTGTGAATAACTTCAAATATCTGGGTATAGAAATGTGCTCAAATATGAAATGGCATGATCAAATAAATTCATTAACACAGAAAACCAGAAAAATGATATATATAATGAGAGAATTTCGAGATATCCTAAATAAGAAAGAATTAAGATTAATTTACTTGGCACTGATTGAACCAATAATATCTTATGGAATTATAGGCTGGGGAGGATCATATGAGAACGCTCTCTCTAGATTACAAACTACTCAAAATACACTAATTAAGATCGCCTTAAGTAAAGACAAAACATACAATACAGAACAACTTTATGAAGACTTTAATGTTCTAGATATCAAAAAAATATATTTTAATTCAGCAGTCCTTTTCTTAAAAAAACATGATGTCCCATTACCCCTGAGTCATAATGTTGTTACCAGGTTCGCTAAAAATAATAATTATACAATGCAATGGCCTCATAAAACGGGCACAAGAAAACAATATAAATTCGTCGGTACAAAAATCCTAAACTTAATACCAAAACACTTCCATGCGTTAACTCTGCTTAGGTTTAAGATAGACTTTAAGAAATGGCTTCTTTATGAATTCAACAATAACCTATTATTATAATTAATAACATACCTTTTTTTAACTATTTGTTAAACTTATATTATTTATCAATTTTTCTATGTTCTATTTTTTTTTGTTTTTATACTCTAATTATAAGAAATCTACTACAGGTTTATATATCATGATTTTTTTTTTATTTACGTTTAATTTGTAATGTTCCACTAAGATAGTAGACACATATTTTTACTTAATATTATATAATTAATAATTTTAAACAATACAACTTGTAACTTATACACTAGAAATTAATTAAACTTATGTACACATAATAACTCCTGGGCCTCCACACGAGAATACTCAGTGAGGCCCAGTATTCTTATCTTGAGAAATAAATTAATAATAATAATAATAATAATAATATCGTTATACTTTATGCTCGGATTATTCGATTTAATATCTTTGTACATATTGATGAAGATGGTTTTCTGATTACTATATTTTAAATACTGTAAAAAAAAATGAATTTATAAATATGTATAATATCATACACCACAATCGACCAACAAAAAATGTTTTACTTACTTTTCGATTTTTTTCTATTAAAAAATAGTTAACATTTCATTTAATTCCAAAATATCACACGATTTGCTATGACTATTCAAGATAAAAAAATCAACTGTAGAAATTTTAAACACATTGAGAACGTTATCACAAAACGAATACAAATTCCACCATGAACTTATTGCGTAATATTCAAAATTAATATAATATTCGTAATGTATCGTAATATTCGCGCATCAGCGGATAGGTTCGTCTATAACGATCGTACGCCGTGTCTCGTCGGCACAAACTAAGTGTTAGAGGACTGGACAAGAGGTTAGATCACGGTTCCCGCAGAGACCAGATTTCGAAGCCGAAGATTTCGAGGTCAGACCATACAAGTGCCAGTGTTTTTTTCTCCTTTTTGCAGCACTGGCGCTATCTAAAGCAATATGTTAGATCGTGATACCGGGAGCGCTACTACAAAAATGTGAATAACCGCACTTAACTCCACCACTGATCAAGTATAAGAATGACCATGGTCTGACCACCGTGAAAATCAGTCGCCGCCGACTGTTTCCTAAGGTATATCAAAATAAGCCAAACATATAATTAAAAATCTGTACTCAGATAAAAAGTACGTGTATGATTTCTATTAAAAACCTGTTATCAAAAATACATTTAATTTTTTATTTCAGTTATCTTTAAAAGTTATCTAGTTATCATAATTATTTTTATAAGGAAACTTCGATTGTTGTACAGATGGCCAACTACTAAATTTTTTTGAGATTCTTATACTGATTATTGAACAACTTATTGCCCGTGTTAATTGTTGTACCATGTTACTATTGTACCCAGTCTCCCCTACTAATTTAATGTAAGAAATTTAGAAAAAAATTATATAACTAAGTTATTTATTTTTTTTAATGTTTAAGTAAACATAGTATTAGGGTATCTGTTTTTTATGTTTAATTTTCAAATAAATAAATAGAAAACTATACTTAATACTTATATAGTCACGATCATTCAGTCGTTGCGAGCACACGTATATTGCGCTGTCGCTCGCTTATCTAAAATTGTATGTCGTTTATTACTGATTGTGTTTTCATTCGCTTATCTAGTAACTGATTTTATTAATACTACATAGTTATATAACTAAAAGTTGCTCCTTATATATAGTACCTAAACAAAAATGATTTGTGGAAAGTGTCATGATGAACTAATCAAGGAAGACGAATTATTTTGCATTGAATGCAAAACATGTTTTCATTACTACTGTCAAGGTATGAATGAAACTAGTTTTGGTAAAATGTCAAAAAATACGAAAAGCAAATGGGTCTGTAATGATTGTAAAACTGAATGGACTAACAAAAAGGGTAATCAGAGCAATAACGATAAAAATGATGAAATAAAGCAATTGACGATTTCAGTTAATTATATGAGCGATAAATTTGACCAGTTCAATTCAACAGTGGGGAAAATTCTTAATGAGATGAAAGAACTTAGAGATCAAAACCAGAAATTATTTGAAAAAAATGAAAAACTTTCAACTGAGGTTCAACAATTGAAAGCGAAAATTGACGAGTTGGACCAGAAGTCATTGGAAAATGCAGTTGAAATTACTGGTATACCTATAATGCGAAACGAAGATTGCAAGTCTATAGTTCAAGAAATATCAGAAAAATTGAAAATAAACTGCGATGTATTGAAAGCTTATAGAGTAACAACTAAACATAAAACCGATATGAAGATAATTGCTTGGTTATCAAATAATAATGATAGAAACCGGTTGGTCACTGAAGCAAAGAAAAATAAGTGGGCTGCTAATCAGTATCGAGGCGATTGGCCATCATCGACAATTTATATTAATAATCATCTGACAAAATTTAGAAGATTATTGTTGTGGAGAACGAAGACATTGGCGAAAGAAAAGGGCTACAAATATGTATGGATGAACTCAACAGATATTCTAGTTCGTAAAGATGAAAATACCAAAGTTACGAGAATCTATGATGAAAATGATTTAAATAAAATAATATAGGTATGTCTTATACGTCTGTCTATTTTAATTTATGTACTTAAAGAATATAATTATACAATGAACGATACTATAAACGAGTTAGATAACCTATATGAGGTTAGAACTAATATTATATCGGATATCATTGACTTAAAATCATTTTTTGTAAATAAAGACGGATTTACTATCTTTCATTTAAATATTAGATCGATCAATAAAAACTTTTCCCAACTATTAGTCATGTTAAACAATATTATACATTTCATTGATTGTATAATACTTACTGAGTGCTGGTTAAGTAACTGTGTTATTAATTTTGAAATTGACGGATTCATTTCATATAGAACTAGTGATAATAATTTTAATCAAAATAGTGGAATTGTAGCTTTTGTAAATAGTAAACATATTGTAAATAATTTCAGTGAGATTATGATTGATAATTGTAATTGTCTAGTATTAAGCTTATGCAGTAATAATGTATCTCGCGAAATAATAGCGCTATATAGGGGACACAATAATAATTTTATAAATTTTAAAAATCGTTTAGGTGAATTAATAAGTAGAATTAAATCAAAAAAAATTATAATAATAGGTGACATAAATATTAATATTTCTAAAAATAGTAATGATGAATATAAAACGGATTATCTAAACTTTATGGCACAAATGGGCTTTTTTAGTTGCATAAATGAATATACTAGGGTTAATAATAATAGTTATTCTACTATTGATCATATATTTATAAATAACGGAGACGTTACTAATATTGAACCTATTATCTTAGAATCACATATTACTGATCATTATAGTACCTTGTTAATAGCTGATAAACATAATATAAAAAATAATCAAGAAGTCAAAAACATCAAAATTAATATAAATATAAAACTGTTAAATTCCCTTTTGATTAGCGAAAAGTGGGAAACAATTTTAAATGAATCTGACGTTGATATATGTGCATTTAAATTTCATAATTTACTAAATAATTATATAATTAATTCAAGCACACGAAAAGAAAAAAATACCTCTTCAAATAAACGTAAAATTAAGCCATGGATAACCGATGGTTTAATTAAATCGATTAGAAAAAGGGATAAACTTGGTAAAAGTATAAAAAATAGACCTAATGATATTCATTTCTTAAATTATTATAAAAGATATAAGAACAAATTGTGTACATTAATAAGGAATGCAAAAAATGATTACTTTAGGAATAGAGTAATACATATTAATACTGGTGATAATAATAAAAACAATAATGCTACTAAACAGGTATGGAACTTAATAGGGGAGGTTATCAACAAAAATGTTAAAAGTAGCAAACCCATCTCTCAAATTATTCATGAAAATCAACTGATCAATGTCAATACGAACACAAATAAATGTGTTAATATATTAAATAACTATTTTGCCTCTGTGGGTGAAAAAATTGCAGGACAAATTCAAAGTGATAATGAAATAC